GATAAAATCACTTGCATTCATTCTGACTTGGACTCTACATTAGCAGTGATAGAGTCAGATGGTGCCAGGGTGCTGATTTGTCCAGTTGTTTGGAATACTTTTAATCTTATTCACGGTAAGGATGTGGTGGCCCCACGTTCTGAGATTAGGTAGGTGGCAACTTGGGAAAGGGCCTTCTCAGTTGCGGCAGCACCAAAACCATAGAACTCTTCCCAGAGATACATGCCTGTCCCCTTAAGTTGCCGTCTAAGACTTTGTTTCATTTGGCATTCCCTCAGTGATCCCTCCTGTCCAATGTTTTAATGCTTGTTTTTAGATTTTTGTATGTATTTTAGTTGTGCTTTAATTGTTTTTAACATGTGATTTTATTTTATTTTTTAGCCACCATGACAACCCTTATGAGGGCAGAAAGGCAGGCTATAAATTTTATAAAATAATATTAAAAAATAACTTCGGGAGACTGAGGGGAAAGGTCCAGTGACACCTATTACAAAAGTATTCTTATACTCCTGTAATCCTACGTAGAGTTCAACAGGTTTAGGCTGGAATAACTGTTTAGGCTTTATACTCCTGTAATCCTACGTAGAGTTCAACAGGTTTAGGCTGGAATAACTCTGTTTAGGCTTGACCATCAAATAAGCTGTCTGTGAGTGGCATTAAATGGTTGAAGTTGTAGCCTTGAATTTAGTCAGGAAACTAATCAGTGGCCATTGGAACAGTGGCAGACTTCAACTGAATGCTGTTAGTTTTGGTTATTCTGTTTTGTTTTGTTCAGAGTTTCATTCAGTATGCTGACTCTGGGCACGACCTTGACTTTTTAAAAAATTGATTTCTTTTAAATGAAATTTGACACAAGAAGAAGGAAATTGGTATGCCGCAGTGAGCTGTTTATCCTGCATTTTCTTCCTGTCGTCATAATCAGTCCCTAATTTTTTTGGTGGAGAAAATTTTAATCTAAGATAAAACTGCAGTCCTAAACAGTAGCAAGCAAAATGCCATGGAATACAATAAAATTTCTTTCAAGTAAAAATGTCTAACAGTAGATTGTATAACAATATCCATTTGGGTTAATAAGAACTGTAAACGTGGATTGCAAAACTTTATAATATGAAATTATTTACTTGTGATAATGGAGAAAATGGGTGGCATTAAAACTTTTAAAATGAAAATAGAAAAAAATACCATGGAACATTCAGTGTACATTTTGAAATAGTAGAATACAGAGTTTTAGAAATAAGAATGAATATGTTATGATATGATTATATGGGTATGATATTGTGGCTAGTACTTAAAGAACATATCTGCTTAGGTGATACCATTTCCCAAATTGTTTAACATATGTCTTATACTATATATTTTATTTCAGAGTTCCCTAATTGTACTATTACATTGCTTATTATATGTCTCATCCTATTGATTGCATTGATTTACACTGTGTAATCTGGCTTGTGTCTCAGTGAGAAAGGCAGGCTAATTAAAAAAAGATTAATTACCATTTTTATTTTCATACCTTACAGCAGGGTTAAGCAGTTTAGGGTTTGTCTAGCAAGTACCTGTCTTGTTGGTTGTAGGGCTAAGCTGGAAAAGACACAGAAAGTACAAACTGTAAAGGTGTGCTGTACCTGCTGTGAGTAACAAGACATTATGTGTTGTTGTTACCCATATCACTAGTACACGTGCAGCTCCTGTAGCTAGCAAAAGCATCCTTCTGCTAGCAAAGAGAAAATATGTGTATTGTGGGGTATTAATTATCAAGATCTTAACCTGTATATACTAGGGTCAAGATACAGATCAATACTCAAATAAATGAAAGGGAATAAATTTCTTAAACAAGAAAAGAAATGTATTGAATTAAAAGGAAGAGAACCACGCTAAATCATGTACAGAAAAATAGAGGTGCTACAGAAAGGAAATAAATGCATATATGAAACCCTTTCCCTAACAAATTACCTGCTACTAAGGGAAGAAATAAAAGGGGAGATATGAAGATATACAGGCCAGCTTCCTGAAAATGGCAGGGCAGCTTTGGAGAGGGAAGTTGATGAGACTGGAGAAGCACAGCAGAAAGAGATGGAAAAAGTAGAGAAGCCAACCATACAGTTGGAGTAACAGGCTGGGTTCCAAAACCGGTTACAAATTGGATGGACTGAAGAATAACTTTTTATACATTCTTGCTAAGATTGAGCTAGGAAAGGGGTGTTGGCATTGGAATGTGGGTATAAGGAAAAGTTCATCTCTCCCGAGATGAGCTAATTTGAAAAGGGTTTTTTTGTGTGCATTGTGGAGGGGAGGTTTCTTTTTTTTGTATTAGAGGTCAAAGTATAAAGGAGAAGAGTTCCTTTAGGGAGACTTAAAGGCTGGATAGGCAAGTACCAATGACCGAGTATTTTACATGATGGAGTATGGGGAGAAGTCTTCCTATCCAACACTTAAGATAAGGGGGAAATAGCTGAGACTGGCCCATTGCTCATTGTCTTGATTATTTGGGTCATTTATGAAGGCCAGATTATCAAGGAGGGGACCCCTTAGGTCCCTGAGGAAAAGGCCCTTTGGTTTACTCCCACTGGATATGGCTTTTGTATGGGTAATAGAAGAGCTTTCTTTACATTCCTTGCACGCCCTTAGTATGACTCAGTGTCATTTTGATATTACTTTGATCCAGACTCCATTTTTCATTGCTAGGCCTATGCTAAGATGTGCATATGTACAGGCATCCATAATGGGGGTCTCCTGCGAGGGGGAGTCCCAGGGCATCAGTGTGCCCCACAGTGCCCTTAGGTCCTGCAGAACCATGGTAGTTAACACCTGAACAGAATATGTGACTCTGGTTGCCAGTTGAGTACCGGATTCGCCTCAAGGTGCTGGTTTTGATCTTTAAAGCCTTAGACGGCCTGGGACCAACATATCTAAGGGACTGCCTCTTACACCTCTTACACCTCATAAGATCAACACCTCCTGGTGGTCCCTGGCCCGAAGGATGCCCGTCTTGCCTCAACCAGGGCCAGGGCTTTCTCTGTCCTGTCCTGGCCCCAGCCTGGTGGAACATGCTCCCTATTGAGACCAGGGCCCTGTGGGATCTCCTTCAATTCCGCAGGGCTTGCAAGACAGAGCTGTTCCGCCAGGCCTTTGGTTGAGGCAGCGGGCGCCCATGTATGGCCTCCCCGAGGTTGCTGTCACCCGTCTGTTTACTGACCATCAACAACTGTCCTTTAACTCACTGCACCATCGGGCCTGAACTTTATAGCCAACTGATGCTGTTTCAAGCTGTACCCATTGTTTTAATTGTTATAACGTTTTATCATGTTTTTAAACTGATACTGTATTTATTATAATGATGTTACCCACTCTGAGCCCGTCCACAGGATGGGTGGGATATAAATGCAAATAATAAATAAATGAATAATGGATTATTCCAGGCCAGCCCTGGATCTCTACTGTGCTGCGTGTATGACAGGGAAAATACCTTTATTGCCTGAGAAAGGAATCCAAGGCACCTCCATAAGGCAATGGAGTCCACCATATTCCTAGTAGGTGAACAAAGAGATAAGCTCATTGGGGCAGGATTAACACAGAAATAGAGTTGAAGTTCCAATTTTGTATGGTTTATTCGAAGTGTCTCCAGATAAGCAAATGGGGAAACTAAGCAAAGGGAAAACAGTAGACACAGAAATGAAATAATCTACAGTTTCTATTACTATTAACTTACATGAATTCTTTGGTTGCTATCCTTCCTTGGTAGGTGAGTCAGGCATTTGAAGAAACATAGATGAAATTTGGCAGAACTGACAAGGGCAGCCAAGTGCTGACCAAGGGCCTCCTTGCTACTTCATTTTTCTTGGGTTCCCTGGGAACGAGAGGTTCATCTTTAACCAACCAGAAACTGACTTGTGCAGGTGTTCTTTTTAGAATGGTGCAGACTGATTGCTTGTCTCCCTGATATCATGTGGGATTTTGCACCCAGCACTTCCGGTTTGTGTGCACAGCTCGGTGACTTCACAGGTGTCAGAGGAGGGGAAATTCTCCAGTTAACCCCACCCATCCAGAAATGACACATGACACGCTGCTAGAACAGCCAGTTTGGTGGGAAATCCTGCATGACTGTGATGCTCACATCTCAAAATATAATTATTGGTCAGCTAATATCCTTGCACAAAATTGGCCACGTTTAAAGGGGGTTCATCCATCACTCAAATTAATGTGTATGCTTTTGCATACAATGACCCTGATTCAGACAGAAAGTGTGACACACAGAGGGGGCTTTGACCCTCTTTCCTCGTGCACTGTTCCAGACTGGGGGTGCCATTTGCTCATTGTAGAAACATCGTACATTGTATCTCCCAATGGGACAAATGGCATGCCTCTGAGCAGTTTCATGTAGGAGAAATGATGGGAGGGGCACAGTCTAAGCTCCCTCTATCTGTGTGCTGCAGTCCCTGTCCAAATCAAGCCCTTTCCTGCCTGGGAAGCATGGAACTCCAGAACATACCTCTCCCCCCACCCCAGGGATGTTTCCAGGGAAAGCATAGTGTGTAGTTAGGCAACAAGGAGTCTGCTGAGGACACCCAATCCAGAGTTTATTTCTGTTCCCATCCTCTGTGATACCTAGTTTGTTCAAACTAGTTTGTGATACTCGACTCACTTCTGTTATAATCCTACCTCTGAGGGTATTCCGGCCCCTCGTAAATGATAGATTCATTTCCTGAGAAGAGTTTTAAGCCTCCAACAGATGAGTAGATGGGAGAATTTTCTTTGTGTACTGGATCCCACTGATTTTGGAAAACATGCATGCAAGCATTCTTGCTCCTCCCCTAACCTAAGTGGAGTATTTCTATAGGTCTTGTAAATGGCATGACCATCCATACTTCTAGTTCTTATACTCCTTTTTTGTCTGTGGGTTTGTGGTGTCTTATTGTAGTCCTTTAATCACAAACCACACACAAGCTGAAGACTTCATAATGTCTTGTACTGATCTGACTCAATGGCTTCTTTTCTGTTTACAGGTTTCTGTGAAAACTGTACAGCATACAAAGATTCTGATGGCTACTTACATTCAGAAAAATCCTGCCTGGAGTTCTGCTGTGGAACGTGTACCAGCCGATATTGTTGTTCAAACTTGTTACAGAAATTAGATGAAGATGATCAAGTTATGTGTAATGAGATGTCAGAAAGGTGAAAATACTACATTATATTGATTTCTTTGAAATATATTAGGTGGGCATTGCTGCTTCTCAGTGCAACATATTGTAGTAACACAGGACTGTGAATGGGGAATAAATATATTTATTATGGGGAACATATGAGACCTTGGAACATTTGCAAGGAGTGACCTTACCCAAACATGGGTTGCATTCAGATGTTCCAAACAAACTACAATTTGTTTGTAACATGAATGAACCTGGAATTCATGAACTCACATGCTTGCTTCCTCCTAGAAAGTTTGATTTAATTACAATTTGTTGTGACATCTGAATTGGTGATTGTTTCTTGGACACAAAGCAAGATTCTAAATCAGGATTAAAGCATGGTTTAAATCAGGGGTGTCAAACATGCCACTCGTGGACTGGATCAGGCCCTAGGAGGGCTCCTAGCTGACCCACAAGAAACTGGCTGTCTCCTGCTTCTTTCTCCAGTTCTGCTGCTGCTTGCTTTACCAAACTCTCTCCGTTGCACAGGAGAGATAGATAGGCAAGCTTCTGTTCCGTGCACTGGCTGAGGCTTCTCCCCCTCCTCCTCCCAGGGGGAAGGAGTGACCGAGCCCGAGCTTGCTTCTTAGCCAGGCTGTCTCAATCGCACAGAAGACAAAGGCAAGCCTTTCTTCCCTTCTATTGGCTGAGGTTTCTCCCCTTCCTCCTGCCTTGCTTTGCTCAGCTGCCTCAGTTGAACAGGAGAAATACAAAGCACCTTTAAGACCAACAAAGTTTTATTCAAGGTATGAGCTTTTGTGTGCCTTGATACAGTGTGTGTTTTGTTGGGCTCGTTATGTTGTGGCTCTTCTGGGTGCTACTGGGTTTGCCTCCCCTTTATACCCTCATGATCCAGTCTTTCTCAGTAGGAAAGCCATGTGAACTATTTAGATGAGGAATAACAAGAAGCCAGTGAGGTGGATTAGGCTGAGTGTGTGTCCAGACCAAGTTCACCCAACACATTTTCTTTGTAGGCTGGGGATTTTGAACCTAGACTTCCCAGATAGAAGGCTGATACTGACCATTATACATGGCTGTCTCTCTATTGCATTGCCTCATAGGAGTTGTAGTTCTTTCTCTGGGGAAGACTATAGTTTTGTAGACAAACACATAGCCCTCAGCCTGTGTCAGGATGCCTTCTCATGTTTTTAACCAGCACACAAAGCAACTTATGCACAAAAGCTCACAATGCCCAACCATGTCATGTTTTGTCCTGGGTCCTAGGCTGAGAACATTAAGCATGAGATTTTTGTAATGAATGTCAATAAATCAAAAGTAGGTTTGCAGTTTACAGATACACATCTGAACAGTAAAGGGTAGACCTGCATGGAATCCTAGGAGAGGGGAAAAAGCCCTCCTGGCTGCTGCCTCTACTGCCACCACCTGCTCCCCTCCCTTGCTATCACCAACTTCCCCCACTATGTCCTTTTCTTGCTGCTGTCTTTTTCACCATCCCCTCAGCTAACTCTTACTCTTTAACGTACCTGGTTGTAATACTGACTGTAATCTTGTAAGATCTTGGTCAGTATTTTTGTTTGCTTGAATTGTACTGTCTACAAATACACAGACTGCTTTTCTTTTTGTTTGTTTTTAAATTAACTTTTCAGGGAGTTCTCGCCAGGGCTGTAGAAGAATCATCGCTCTCTGTATTTAGTGACAATGTTTGGCTTTTGGGATCCACATTCTGAGGCCATATTTAGAATCAGATATAATGCATGACTTACAGCAAATCTGTACAAATGTGGAATGCAGTTTTCCATCCACACAATCCCTTTGCCCATGCTTGAGAAAATACATCCAGTCTTTTCCTCTTTCACTGATTTGTGATTTCTTAGTACAAGTCTAATATATTTCAGTTATAGATATAGTATTTCCCATATACCGCTTCTCTTGAATACTGGGCAGCTTCTAGGACCTTGTTTTGACTATTTTTGCAGCTTTGACTATTTTTGCATCTACTAATAAATGATGGATTTGCTGTTTATTTTTAGATAATACAGGAAATGTACACAGCAAAATTTGTGTTAGTCCTTAATTGTGATTAAAGTTATTTTGTAAATACAATTTATTACTATATTCTAGTATTAAGAGGATTTGGACCATGGTTGCCACATATCTTCAGTCTGCATTAACTCTGGTACAGTTCCAATAGATTCAGACTGATTTTTCATATCCTAATGTTAGGAGAAGGGTTGCAGAGTATTACACTATCCACATAAATCGTTAACTTGTATTTTGTATTAGTTTTGGTTTCCTGGGAATAAGCCTTACTGAATAAAATGGGACTTACTTCTGAGTAGACTTTCTTAGATTGTTCCCATAATTCCTTTCAAATTCCTTTCTATTGTTAAAATGTTCAAATTGAGAGCATCAACAAATTATGTTTGGACTGAAGATTTCCTAAACCAGGAAGTCTTCAGCCTTGGATTCATATGAAAGGGAAGCAAGAAAAGGACAAAGCAATGCACCTGCAGTTTTCAGTTGATTCTCATGACAAACATATCTAAATACAGCCAAAGTTTGATGGAAAACAGAACTAGCTGGTTTAACATTGCTACATATTTTGTGACTTCGTGTACTTAGTGCTCCTACATATGACATTTCATCTTAAACACACTGAATTAGAACTAAAGATGTAGCTCTAGCAGTAGAATGGCATTTATACTAATGGAAAGGAACTTCTGTTGATGGAAGTGGGGGGTGATTTGCCAATTTCCCCTTCTACTGTAGACCCACATTTTGCACTCATGCTTGTCATGAGAGTCCTGGCAGCAGAGGATTCGGTGGGGTACAGTGGGATGGAAACGGTGGAAAAATCCCATTTCATGAATTGTGTTCCACTTGTAGTACTCTATATCCAATCCAATCTTTCATTTCTCACAGAAAATCCTAGCTTTCTTTACCCTTCAGAAGGCCTTTTCTAACAGTATTCAACATCTTGTACCATCAATGAACATAGCCCAAGTAAGTCTTTTGCACAGAGTAGCTGATTAGTGGAGAGGCTAGGGAATTCTGGAATACAAACCTTTCCTTCTTTATTTACACCACTGCTGTGGCTAAATCCCTGTTCAGGGGATGAGTTGCCCAGTTGTATTGATACTAGCTCACTCCTCCATAATCTTGTGAGCTTTTTCATAAGGTAATACCAGATATGAGACATTGCTGTCATTGACTAGTTCATACAGCTTTATCTTAGTAAGTGATTGCATTTTTTCCCTCGCAGGCTAGCAGAGCAAACAATATTAAATCTAAACAGTTTATATGCAATGGAATGAAACATCATTTTAGCTGGTAGGAATAAAGGACAGCTGTGGGACAAGAAATAATGGCTTAACAATATGAAAAAAAGATTTTATATCTTACTTAAAGATTCCTTTTTTACTGCAGCATGTCGGAAGAATGGGAGAAGAAATGAAGTTCAGAACAGACTTTGATGATATCTATGAAGCTAATCAGAGAAGGTACTATAAATAAAATACGACTTGCGAGTTTGTGATCAATGTAGTATGTGTTATGAGCTCAAGGACTTGAGCTTACACACTGCATCAGAAAAACAGCATTCTGTGGTATATGTGGAAAACAATGTTCTGGAGCTCTCACGGTATTTTGTTACAACTGTCTAAAGTTAATTACCTTTGGTTACAGCTATTGTGGCATATTCTCTGGAAATTGAATAGTGCTGTATTGACAAAAATTATTTGAAGTTTGGTGGTCACGAACTTGCAAAACATAGCTGAGGATCTTGCAATGTGAGGATCTTTAGCCGTTGCATTTTTTTCAATAAAGCCCTTAGATTTTTGCAGACTATGCACCTCCTGGGTGGTTATATAATTGATGGGCTGCCACTGAAAAGGTCCTGTTCTCCTTCAGTGGGGGAAGTCATCCAAACTGGTTTTAGGTCACACCTCCTTTCGCTCCAGGCAGGGCTGTGCAAATTTGTGTCGACTGTATTGGCTCAGAGCGAAGCTGACCCTCCAGTTTCAATAGCTCTGCCGCTCCAGCAGGACTCTTGAGTAGGGTTAATGCCGGTAGCTCACAAAGTAGAATCTTTGCTCACAAGACTCCACAGCGTAGAGGGAGCATTGCTCACCAGCTGAACAAAACTGAAGACCCCTGTGGGTTAAGTGTTAGATCGCGCTAACAAAGGAACCGTAGAGTGATTCAGCAAGTGATTCAGCTTTATTTAGAAGTAACGAACAAGCACTAACTCAGTAAGAAACCAGAACAGAAAACAGTGGGAGCTTATGCTCCTTTTAAACATAACCGGGCTAATGTAGCCACGCCTATTTACAAATAACAACCAATGAGATTGCTAGAATAAAGACCAATGGGAGTCTTTCCCTCCTAGGGAATGGTATCGTTCTGATTGGTCGCTGTTACGAAGCGACCAATAGGAAGTTCGCTCAGAGGAGCCCTGGTCTGGCTCGAAGCTTAACATGGGAGTCCTATGAGGTGATTCATGTAATCATTTCAATACATTACAATTCCTCCCCCCTAAGTTAAGCCATCATCCCAATTGTTTTATTATTTACAAACATGCAATCAACCTTTGTACATCAGTTATTCCAACAGTATTTACACTCATAGTCCTTCAGATAAGTCGGCATTTGCCGCGAACGCTGGGACCTGCGGAGCGGTGCAGGCTCCATGGGCAGACAAGGTTGTGGGTCAGAGTGGGGTTCACTACAGCCTGGATCAGGCACAGACTCGACTGGGATTTCAGCCCCGCACACAGGGTTCTGCCCTGACTCGGGGACAGTACCGGGCCTTTCGGTACTCACCGCCTGCTCTGGGGGTGTCCACTCGACATCAGGGGATTCAGCCGTCGGAGAGTCAGCGCTGTCCCTAGCCCAACGTCTCCTTAACTGATCTATGTGGCGCCGCCATATTCGACCGTCAGCTAACTGCACCACATACATTCGAGTACCCACAGAGTCGGATATAACCCCAGGAAGCCATAAGTGCCCGTTTGCATAATTTCGTGCGAAAACCTTGTCCCCTTTTTCAAACATGCGCACCTTCGGTTGCGCCGTGGTACGCTCGGATTGCTCTTCAGTGAGGTCTGGGTGCATTCGGTTCAAACGGGTCGTGAGTCTCCGCCCCATTAACAATTCGGCCGGACTACGGCCTGTAGCACTACAGGGGGTGGTGTGCTGCAGCAAAAGAAAGGAGCCCAGCCTCTGGCTCCAGTCCCCTTCGTCCATTTTACCCAGGGCCTCTTTGGCCGTCCTGACCATCCGTTCGGCTTGGCCATTAGATGCCGGATGGAAAGGGGCCGAAGTCATTTGGCGTATGCCATTACTCGTGAGGAAGAGCCTAAATTCCTCAGACACAAATTGAGGCCCGTTGTCACTGACGATGACGTCAGGCAACCCGTGGGTGGCAAAAAGTCGGCGGAGCGCATGGATCACAGCAAGTGATGTGGTCGATTTCATATGCACGACCTCCAGCCATTTGGACATAGCGTCCACCACAATTAGGAACATTTGCCCTTGGAGAGGGCCAGCAAAATCTATATGCAATCTGGCCCAGGGTTTACCAGATGACTCCCAGCCTTGGGGTGTAGCTTGTGGGGGATCGGGTCTGACTTGCTGGCATTTGGGACACCCTCGTACCCATTCTTCGATCTCTTTGTCCAGCCCCGGCCACCAGACATACCCTCTGGCCAACGCTTTGGTGTGTACCATACCGGGGTGACCCTCGTGCAGCGACTCTAACACTCTCGTCCTGAGTTTGTCAGGAACCACCACCCTGTTCCCCCATAATACACAGCCCTTAGAAATGGATAGTTCATTTTGACGGCTTTTGTAAGGGCCGAACTCCGGTTCAACGCTTCCAACCGGCCACCCCCTCCAAACCCAGTTTAATACTCGGGACAGCACGCTATCCTTGGCCGTGTGTGCTGCAATGTCCCTGGATGATACCGGGGGTCGAGGAAGCTCCTCAATTGCCAAGACCTCACAGGCGGGGGCAGGGTCTGCGCCAATGTCCGGCACCGGGCACCGGCTGAGGGCATCCGCATGCCCAATCGCTTTCCCAGGCCGGTGCTCTAAGTCAAAATCATAAGCCTGCAAAAATATCGCCCATCTAAGCATGCGTGGGGACATGATGTTTGGCAATTGCTTATCGGGCGCAAAAATCCCCAGTAGCGGCTTGTGGTCAGTGACCAGCAAAAATCGTCTGCCAAAAATAAAATCATGGAACTTTTTGACAGCCGCTACCAACGCCAGACCCTCCTTGTCTATCTGGGCATAGTTCCGCTCTGCCGCAGATAGTGATCTAGAATAAAAAGCGATAGGCGCTTCGCTCCCATCAGGCATCAGATGGCTTAAAACTGCGCCTACTCCAAAAGGTGAAGCGTCAGCAGCTAACACCAGGAGCTTGTGTTCATCATAATGCGTGAGTACGGCATTAGATGTCAGCAGCTCCTTGACTCCCACAAAAGCCTTTTCCTCGGCCTGCCCCCACTTCCATTTTGCCTCCTTGTGCAAAAGCGCGTGCAAAGGGGCCGCCACTGATGCCTTATGCGGTAAAAACGCATGATAAAAATTCAGGAGTCCTAAAAAGGATTGGAGCTCCTTCTTACTCACCGGCCTGGGGGCGTTTTGGATTGCAGATACCTTCTCATCCGTGGGGTGGACTCCCTCTGCGTCAATGCGAAACCCCAGGAAGTCCACACTTTCCACCCCGAGCGTGCATTTTGAGCGCTTAACTCTGAGACCGGCATTTTGAAAACGCCTGAGGACCTCTTTAACCCGGTCCAGTAGTTCCTGTTCAGACCCGCCCGCAATCAGCACGTCGTCAAAATAGGGCACTGTGCCAGGTACCCCCCTTAGTAGACGTTCCATGAGGCCCTGAAAAATCCCAGGTGCTACGTTGACCCCGAATTGCAGCCTGTTCACTTTAAAAGCCCCTTGGTGGGTTACAATTGTTTGGGCCTCGGCAGCCTCCGGGGTGACAGGCAACTGCTGGTATGCCTGGGCCAGGTCAAATTTGGCGAAAATCTTGCCACCCCCCAGGGAAGCCAAAATGTGGCTTATTACCGGGACCGGGTACGAATGTTGCTGCAGCGCCTTGTTAATCGTACATTTGTAATCGGCGCATAGTCGTATGGACCCATCTGATTTGACAGGGGTTACGATCGGGGTCTCCCATTTGCTGTATGGTACTGGCTCTAAAACCCCTTGCTCAACTAGTTTGTCAATCTCTTTTTCCACCTTATGTTTGAGAGACACAGGTACTTTCCGATACTTCAACCTAATAGGTTTGACTGACGGATCTAAGTCAAACGCAACCGGGGGGCCCTTGTACCTCCCCAACCCTTCGGCAAATACATCAGGGAACAGGTCGTACAGCATGCCCCATTTATTTTCAGACATCCTGTTAATCCCAGAAATACCAATGCCCAATGGCTCAAACCAATCTAACCCTAGCAGGTTAACCCGGTCTCCCTCTGCAATCAGGAATGACAGTTTAACACATTTCCCCTTATACTCAACAGTAACAGAGTCCCGTCCGGCCAAGGGAATTCGGTTGCCCTGGAAGTCGGACACTCTGGTTCCCGCAGGCTGGAGCCGCCGCCGGCTTCGGTTCGGGAACAACTGGCGCCAGGACGCGGCAGAAATCACCGTCACGGACGATCCTGAGTCCACCTCCATTGTACAGGGTCGGCCGTCGAGGAGTGGAGTCACGGTGATCTTGCCCTGGCTGCTGGTGCGATTTACGGCCGATGCGCTCGACAAGGTCGCCGTCAACTGGCAGCTTGCTTCCGATGCTGAGGAACGGGTCTTGCCTTGGGTGCTGACTGGAGTGCCCCTCTGCGCTGACCGGTTGTTAGTTGAGGGATCCTTCTTCGCTGATCTGCAGACTCTGGCCAGATGACCACGCCGCCCACACGCTCTGCAGTCGACATCACGAGCCCAACAGGAGTCGCGCTGGTGCTTCCCGCCACAACCGGAGCAAGGCTTGACGTTGGTAGTCTTCGCTGGGGTCCGCTTGCCTCGAACCGCGTTGACGTCATCATCCGCGTCTTCGCCCTCGCTGTCTCGTTGAGCGTGTATACTGGGCTCTGCCACCCGCTGGCGGACCTCCTTCGTGGACTTCTCCGCTGCTTCCGCGGCCACGGCCTCTTCGTAGGCCACTGCCCAGGTCAGGGTGGTGCGGGCGAACAGCCTCTGTTGCAGCCTTTCATCTTTGAGACCGCAGACGAGACGGTCTCTGAGGGCTTCCTCCACGTTGTGGAAATTACATGGCCGTGCGGCTTTGCGAAGGGCCGCCACGAAATCTGCGATGGTCTCGCCTCCGGCCTGGTTCCGCTTGTAAAAAGCGTGCCGGCAGGCGATCTCCGACGGTTGTGGAGAATAGTGAGCCTTAAGCTTCTCCGTGATGTCAGCGTAGGTGACAGTCTTTATATCAGTTGGGGCCACCAACGACCTGGCTATGTCGAAGGTCCCCTTCCCGC